ATTCACTCAGACAGTCTCAATCCAATTGAGGCAACTTGCCTACTTTAGTGAGTCATTCCACCCATGGGACTTTTGCCAAAGAGAGATGGCTGAGGGTAAGACAGCATATTTATGTAGTGGCTTCCTAGTTTGTCTATTGATGGTACTATTCACATTCCTCAAGGCAAATTTGCTGAGCTGAGTAAATGGTTCCTTGCGTATGTTTGTGCGTGTGTGTGGGTTTAGTCAGATTGTGTACTGTGCGTACACGCATATTTATTGTCACCTTGATGGATGGTGTTGGTGATGTTGTCATTGTTAAAAAATTGTTTGGTTAAGCGTAATATTCGGTGGGAAGTAATAAAACCTGTTTATCAATCATCATCATTATCCTTATCGTTATACTATCTTCAGCATGGTAGCAAAGTAAGCATAAACGAGTAAACTGAATAAATAAATGACTGAAGTATGAAAAGTTCAAAATGATTATTTGGTGGCAGACATTATTATTATTATATCAAAAGGCAGGCTTTATGAAATTTTGCATTAGCCCAAACTCTTATACTTTAGATTTATCTATGGAGGAGGTACATATATAGCAGTTCATTAATAGCAATTCATTAGCTGTCTTCTTGCTTCCCAGTATCTCTGGGTTTCCGTTATTATCTTTTGAGCTGGACACCGAATCAGGTAGGTCTTCCCCATTTCCTACTGTAGGTTACATAGGAGGAATGCGGGTTTGATCGTATACTTCTTAGCTGTGAAGGTGTTGTGCCAGACAGTCGTGCCCGGTGCGTAGTCTAAACTCAGCAACGGCTTCGATTCTTGGCCAGTCGGCTATGTCGGAGAGTGTCACTGTCAACTGTTTGTCCTTTGTTCGAGCTTTGAGTTCTTTGCACCTTGGGGTCTTGAATTCTCTCCTGATTAAAGTCTTCATTGTGTGAAAAGACATCAGCTCGTCTATGCCTTGCAAAATCGTTGTCTCCTTCTTATCAAATGCACCAGCAAGCTCATTGCCTTTACTGCCACAGTGACCAGGAATCCATTGTAGAACTTACCTTTACATGACAGTGACCAGGAATCCATTGTAGGACCACTGTGTTGTTTTTTCTCTCATCAGCTGATACAGTTTGTTACATCCGTATATCTCATCTGTTTTGGGTGGCACTCTGTTTCCAATTACGTTTATTGCTGACTGTGAGTCCGAAAGTGTTACGACTTTGGTGAATTTCGTATCCAGGCAACATAACTGATTTAGTGATATCCTAGTAGCCTCTATTTCCCCTTCGAAAGTAAATCTTTTGTGTCCCATTGCTGCGTATAAAGCGAGGTGTACAGAGTAGACAACTGCACCAACTTTCGCTTGGTTTTCAATGTACGACCCCTCAGTGAAGACTTGGAGCCATCGATCTCCAGGATAGTTGACATTGATTGTCTTAATGGCCAGTGAGCTCATTGGTTCTTGAATGGGTGTTCGCTTTGCTGAAGTAGTCAAGCAGTTGGGTGCAACACACTACATTAGTGTCTGCTGATGGATCCATGGGTAGAGAAGAACTTTTTGGTTTTTTCATGGATTTGTAATTCCTCATTCAGTTCTATGGCTTTCTGTATTAGACTAGATTGCGTTTTTAGATGTCTTGGTCTATTCTCATAGGTGCCGAAGAATTTATCCATGGGAACGTGCAGTAGCTTTTCATACGGGATCAAGGCATTCTCTTTGATAAGGGAACATTTTGCGGTGCTCCTTGTAACCAGGAGCATTGCATCAATGGGTGTTGATTTTATCCCTCTAGCAATTAGTCGTAATGCATGGTTGTTGTAGTTAGCTATTTCAGAGTCTATAGTTATCTGTTTGTTGTTTAAGCGTTTTGGTTCTTTCTTGGGTCCTTCTCTGTTGTTTTGCAGGTTACTCAGGAATGTCGTGGGTCTTTCTCTGTTGTTTTGGAGGTTACCCAGGAATTGGGTTGGCCATCACTTTGGTAGTTGATATTTGAGATGAACTTTTCTATCACTTTGATAGTTGATATTTGAGATGAACTTGTCGATGTCACTTTGATAGCTGATATTTGAGATGAAGTTGTCGAAAGTAGTCCATTTAGCTTGTAGGATGGCTTTCTTTAGGACAGCCGTCTCCAGGTATGTGCGTCTTCCCTTCTTCCAGTCTGATCAGCAGTGTTGCGAAGGGCATCCCGCTTTCTTTTAAGATTCTCAAGGTGTTCAGACCAAAATCCTTGAGCGTGTTAAGTCTTGCCACGAAGAATAGTTTTCTTTCCACATCTGTGTACACTCAAGGCATATGCAAATTTTGAGTTTGAATTTGAGCATGTAGAAATGTTGTCTGTTAAGATTTCATTACGGGGTTCAATAAGTAGTTGCAGTTCTTTGTTCGGCGGTGTTTCGAGCCATTGTGAACAGTTATCACTTTTGTAATTCAATCAAAATTTCACATCGTCTTAGGCGAATTTCAAAAGTGATTTCGAACCTATTAATAAAATAATAATTATAATAATTCAGTATTTGAACTATTCGATGGCGTTAATGCCAAAGAACAGCAGAAACATCTCAATCATTTGACTTCAAATTTGGAAATTTTGCTAGAAATTCCTAGAAATACTTCATTGGTTCCAGAAATGTTCTAAATCATTCACTCAATAACCCCTATTTCATTTAATTTCATTGGTTTGACTTTCCATTTCTTTCAGTCCTCGTGCCAACATCTGTATAGCATGACCTCGTCAATAATGTCCCTACTACAACTCGAATCCTTAATGTGACATAAAATGTAATTGGATTCATGCTGGAGGAGGCAATAGAAGGAAGCTAAACTACTCTTCAAATGGTTGTCAACGTGGTCAATATTTGACAGAAGACCCACTTTAGATTTTGTACTGCTTGAACAATTTACTCTCTCACTTTATTGAAACCAATTACAAAGCTAATTAAATTTAAAATTTAAATACGATTGGAAAGTTTGGTGAGTGAGTTGAAATGTGATTAAATATAACAAACCTTATCATATATATTTAGGACGTTGAAAGAGTCGCAACAATTCATGCTCTGAGATGCATTTATTGAACCACTTGAATACCACCACGCAAACAAGAACAAGGAATGTGACGAGTTGCATGTGGGAAGAAGTCGCTACAGCTAAATAATTCGGTGGAATATCGCATGAAAGCCAAGTTGTTTTGCACGAACCCTAGAAACACCGACTTAGCCATCCATTTGAGCAGTGGAATTCGACTATTTACTTGATGCAAAATGTAAGCTTTGAGAAGTTTCAATTTCAGCTTTTGAATATCGATATGTAAAAGGAGTGCTATACTAGAAGACTTCTGCATATTGAACAATGATGGCGGACGAGCGTTAGAATCTGCAGCTGAACAACTGCTGTGTCTAGACGAGTTTGGATACTTTTTTAATTTCCCTCTATTTTCATTGATTTGAGGGAACCCTTGTTTCACCGACTTTATCATTACTTCGAATAGTGAAGCCTAACTATAAGAGTGATGATAAAAGTCTGATGATCAAGGTACCTCGCAACAGTTTACAAAGTTTTGCCCATTTGAAATAATGTGCAAATTTTATGTTTAGAAAATTCTCTTTGGATAAATGCTTCATCAGTGTTGTTGAACCAATTAGTAATGCAAATCAACATTTGCTCTTCAGTAGATTTGTGGGGATCTAGATATCAAAATTAAAAAAGCGTGTTTCATGATTTGTACCAGGTTTCCTCTTGATACGGCTGAATTTCTCAAGTTATACAAGTTAAGATGTTGGTGGCGTCAAACAATTTACTTTCAAACAGATAGTTGACTTACGAAATATTCTCTCACATTTATAAAAGTGTCTGAATGAATCTCTGTCCATTGTTAGAATTCTCATGTTAGTAGTATGATTATAACGCTACAGACATTTCATCACAACACGAGGTTAACTGCAGGCAACCCACCACTCCAAATTGCACGCAAACGAGTCCACCAACTCTAATGTGCCCAACTCGAACCCAGCAACATTGACACAGTAAAAGGAAAGATATTCACAAATGCGCTGATCATCACAATTTGGTCATATATTTTCAGGGAAAAATGAGCATGCTGATCTTTTTTCCCTCTAACCAATCACAATCTCCAACGACCATCCAAATGGTCTCGCTGGCAAGTCTTCAATACCTGCCACACATGTGCCGAGAGATGAGGGAATGTGGGCTGAATTTAAGTGTTAGAGTATCTTTAGCAGTGACATGTTGTCGAAGTTGACATAACGAGCATGATACCCTCCGATTGAAGAGGAGAACTAACTCCACTAACTTCACTGATTTGGAATTTTAACAGTGTTGCAGTTACTTCAACTTGGGTACAGTTGACATCATGATTGACATTTAGTTTGAGTTAAATGAATTTAGGAGTAAAGTCATCTGCCTTGCAATTGGAATATTGAAATGGACGTTAATGCGTTGCATTGAAAAAGTATTGGAAAGAAAATTCTTAAATCTAGTAAGAAAATGGATTTGCTTGATTGTAATGAATGTGATCACAAAAATTGATCATTATCCGACAAAACTCCCTATTGATTAGACATTGCAGTCATAACGGAAAACTACATGAAGTGTGGAAAATTATAAAGGTAAATTAGAATTGGCTTGAATGAATATACTTTCTAGGACTTTTTTTTGATGGGTTGTGCGATAGACTTACCTCTACGTGGTGCACTCTGGACAACGTATTTTCTTACGGCAAAATAAGTCTATCACTCTGCATTCGTTTTTGACTTCGATTAATTATGATTAGCTTTAAAATAGGCTATAAGAAAAATCGCCCTCGTCAGGGCGAATCACAACGTCTTCAGATCCTCCAGTGGAATGCTGAAGGAATGTCTCCGGACAAATAGATCCAAGTACAGAAAATCCTACAAACTTATGATGTAGACATTTTCACAATTATGGAAGCTAACATTTCGGATGACAAACTGAAGTACTACCAATTCCCAGGTTACACCCTGTACAATCTTCCTAACCACCGGCAAGTTGCAAGTGGAATTCTAACTGGAGTAAAAGAAGGCCTCGCCTCACTCTACGATCTAATCAAGGGTATGGGCTCGACACATGACAAATGTGAAATAATCAGATTAAATGTTTGGAAGTGTCAAAACCACTTCAAGATATATGCAGTCTATAATCTACCCCAGAATTGTCCAAACTTTGACTTTCTGAACATCTCACACAAAACTATAATATTAGGAGACTNGTAGTCTGGAAAGAGAAGCTAATTCTAAAATTGGCAAAGATTGGTATTAAGCATAACAAGCTAAACTGGATAAAAGCATTCTTTGGACAAAGATCGTGTAAAGTCAGATACGGAAATGCTCTATCAAAATCCAATCGTTTACAAACAGGTCTTGCACAGGGAGCTGTCACAAGCTGCACTCTTTTCAATGTCTTCATCAATGACCTAGCCGAATTGGTACAGACAGTCACAGGCATCAAGTGCTTACGTTATGCAGATGATCTTATTCTATGGTATTCCGACCCTAAGAAAAATGCTCAGGAGAGGACAGAAACTGCCAAAACTAAGAAAAATGCTCAGGAGAGGACAGAAACTGCCATAAATTGTGCACTTAAACTACTAGCACACTGGTGCGACAACAATGGAATGGTAATTAACACTCCAAAAACTGCATTCGAAACATTTTCTTTGGCCCATCACGGCATAAACCCGCTTTTAAGGTACAAGGATACTACCATAGAAAAAACCAATGAGTTCACTTATCTCGGAATGACGATTGACACAAAGCTAACGTGGAAAAGTCACATTGCTAAAATAGCAGAACGAGTCTCTAATAGACTGAATGTCCTGATGTGTCTTGCTGGTAGCGTATGGGGCTGTGCGCGCTCAACTCTCAACACCACTTACAAGATGTTTATTCAGCCAATAATGTTGTATTGCTGTGAGCCACTCATTACAGCCACAGAGGTGACTCTCAAACCACTCGAGAAGGTTCACAACCAAGCATCACGACTAATTACTGGAGGGATACAATCAACACCCATTGATGCAATGCCCCTAGTTACGGTAAGCACCACAATAGATTCCCTTATCAAAGAAAAGGCCTTGATCCTATATAAGAAGCTACTGCGCATTCCCATGGACAAGTTCTTCAGCACCTATGAGAATAAACCAAAACATCTGAAAACGCAATCTGGTCTAATACAGAAAGCCATAGAACTGAAGAAAGNTGTCTTGCTGGTAGCGTATGGGGCTGTGCGCGCTCAACTCTCAACACCACTTACAAGATGTTTATTCAGCCAATAATGTTGTATTGCTGTGAGCCACTCATTACAGCCACAGAGGTGACTCTCAAACCACTCGAGAAGGCACACAACCAAGCAATACGACTAATTACTGGAGGGATAAAATCAACACCCATTGATGCAATGCTCCTAGTTACAGGAAGCACCACAATAGGTTCCCTTATCAAAGAAAAGGCCTTGGTCCTGTATGAAAAGCTACTGCGCATTCCCATGGACAAGTTCTTCAGCACCTATGAGAATAAACCAAAACATCTGAAAACGCAATCTGGTCTAATACAGAAAGCCACAGAACTGAAGAAAGCGTTACAAATCTATGATAAACCAAAAAGCCTCTCTCTCCCCATGAACCCATTAGCAGACATTGATGTAGTGTGTTGCACCCAACCGCTCGACTTCTTCTGGAAATCAAACACTCCTCCAGAGCAAATGCGCTCACTGGCCCTTGAGATCAATGGCTCCAAGTCTTCACTGATGTGTCATACATAGAAAAACAATCAAACGTTTGTGCAGGTGTCTATTCTGAACTCTTCTCTTTCTACGCAACAGCGGGACATAATAGATCCGCTTTTGAAGGAGAAATAGTGGCTATTGGGATAGCACTATGCCAATTATGTTGCCTTTATACGAAATTCACCAAAGTGGTGATACTTTCGGACCCACCGTCAGCAATAGACTCTATTGGAGACAGAGAGCCACCCAAAACAGCTGAGATAAAGGAATGTAGAAAACTCTATCAGCTGCTGAGAGAGAAAAACAAAACAGTGGTCCTACAATGGATTCCTGGTCACTGTGGCATTAAAGGCAATGAGCTTGCTGACACACTTGCTAAGAAGGGGACAACGATTTTGCAATGCATAGACCGGCCGATGTCTTTCCACACAATGAAGGCCTTAATCAGGAGAGAATTCCAGACCTCACGGTTCAACGAACTCAAAGCTCGAACAAAGGGGAAACAGTGGACAGTGGCACTCTCCGACATACCCGACTGGCCAAGAATCGAAGCCGTTGTTGAGTTCACACTACGTACCGGACACGATTGCTTGGCAAAACACCTTCACAGATTGCGAGTATACACTCAACCCACATGCCCTCTATGTAACCTACATGAGGAAATGGAGAAGACCCACCTGATTCGGTGTCCAGCCCTAAAGACAATGACGGAAAGCCAGAGATACTGGGAAGCAAGAAGACAGCTAATGAATTACTATTAATTAACTGCTATAAATGTACTAACCCCCCACCCTTGGGGGAAGCTGAAGTCAAAGATTAAGGGCTAATGATAAATATCATAAAGCCTGCCATTTGAAATAAATAAATAATTGTCATGGTATTGTAAAATTCAATAAAATGGAATTCCGAAACAAGGTCATTTTGAATTTGGTTAAATTGGGTGCTAAACATGAAAAAATCATGAATTCCCTGGCAGGGGTGTTATTTAAAAGTATTGAATGATATTTCACCCTAACAGAAGGAATATGACTTGTTCTATAATTTTAATTGTGCTGCGTCATGGTTAGTGGGTAAATGGATTCGTGAGCGTAGGGGCCTCTCAGCCAACCAATAATCAATACTTGCTCCATTCTTTGCCATACCCTCAACTGTATTTTAAAGATTAGCCTTGTAGCAGAGTAGCTTAACCACAACAAGAGTTACTCACAGGATAAATTACTCGTTGTGATAATGGATTTGATCTCAGGAGAATTTCGTACACCGAAACCTCTGAGGTTTAGTCAACGCATTCGTCAGGTGGAATTTCGAGCAAGATTGCGTTCGTGAAGTTCAGAAACTTCTTCTCAAATGAATGATTCATTTGTATCGATTTTGCTAACACGTATAAATATGATAAGAAAATTGAGACGTGAACTGCCATCTTTTAATTAAATATCCCGACATCCTGATTGGGTAATTGGACCTTGTGCTGCTGGCATTTTCATCGACAGAGAGTGCGTGTGTGTTCAGATATCATATCTATCTCTGGGAGAGTGATGATCTGCCGTGGCGTGAGAGGTACAAATTAAAGGGTTTATGGCCTGTGAAAATGTTGAATTGGAGTCCTTTGAATAAATGGCTGAAGTGCTTGACGTCCAAATAGATAGTGAGCAGTTCTCTGCCGAATGTGCTTTATCGCGTCTCAGTAGCTGTGAAATTTTTCGATAAAAAGAGTGGGGCCGCATATCACCCTTAACCATCTGTTGCAATACTGCTCCGACTGCCACTTGGGAAGCGTCGGTCTTTAAAACAACCCATGTCTCACTGGATGTATCAAGATGATTAAACGAAGTCCCCACAGATATATGCTTTTATTAGCGAAAACGCTTATTCAGCCTCTGGTGTCATCTTGAAATGCTTCGGATTACCCTTGAGCAAATCCCCGATAGGCCATAGTAACTTGGCACAATTGGGGATGAATCGTCCTTACTAATTTACGACCCCTATAAAACGAATCAAACTGTTCACCTTTTAGGGAATAGGGTAGTCCATGATTGATCGTGTTTTTTCGGCCAAAGATGAGATTCCACAACCGTTGATGTGATAACCCAGAACATCGATTTCAGCGTGGCCGAATTTGCACTTCTCGGGGTTAACAGTGATTCCGTATTGCTGAATGCGTTCTGTCGCAGACGTTTTTGTGCTCCTCGGGGTTGAGCTTGCGATGCTTACGTCATCAATATATGTAAATGTGACATCTAACCCACGGACAACTTGGTCCATAAGCCGCTGGAATGATTAGGCCGCGTTGCTTAGACCGAAAGGCATACGTAGGAATTCGATAACGGCCGCCTTAGCGACGTCTCCTGGGTCCGTTAGAATCTGGTAATAGGCTCGGACGAGATCAAGGCTTGGTAAATATGACTTTGCCATGTAATTGCGGGGCAAAATCATGGATAAAGGGTAAGGGATAACGATCTGGGCTGGTAATCTGGTTTAAGACATGGTAATCTCCGCATGGTCTCTATTCACCGTTTTGCTTCGGGACCATGTGCTGAAATTCCCGTTTGGTCCCGCGTAGTTTGTCGGAATTCCAGCGCCGAGCTCTAGCAAACACCGGTGGTCCGTTGGTGTTTATGTGGCGTCGAACTCTGTACTCTGGCTCCAAAACCTACTATCGAAGGCGGAAGATGGATAGAAATTCAGACAAGTTGCTCGCGAATGGATTATCTAAGGGAAGGTGGAAATTCAAAACGAAGGAATCTAAGGACTTTGCAGGGATGTGACGTTGTCTCGGAGGTTGACTAACAATTGGAACTTAGAGAGAAAGTCAGAACCTAAAATGGGCTTTCGAATGTCACCAATCAGAAAGACAAATATAAATACTCGACAAATTCCTAGATCCCGGTTGAGGAACTTTTGTCCGTAGATATGAATTTGTGTATTGTTGGCTGCCAGAAGGGAAGCCTTGGTGGCTTGTAGACAGCGTTTTTCTGCGTAGCAAGGAATAACACTGCCTTCGAGCATGGTATCCACCAAGAACTTGAGTTGGAATTTCCAATGGAGATATAGGACAGGCGACTGGTGGAATGGCCAGGATCAGTTGTCACCTTCACTGCCTGGTGTGATGTTTTCCCGATGGGCGGCGTTGTTTGCGGCTGAGGTATTGACAACAAAGGAAATATTTCTTATCGTTGTCCCCGTATGTGCGGTTGTAAGAACAAATTGTGGCCCCTTTTCTTGACAAACTCCGACTGAAGTTTTTGCTGCATTTAAGCTAGACCTATCGCAATGTAGATGTTCGCGAGCAGCCACTTCAACCAAATTTACCAAGGTCATCTTGATAAAAGTTGGTCATTAGATGTGTGACCAAGTATTTGGAAAGTCGAGTTAACCAAAGTTCTCGAAGGATTCCACTGGATAATTCCTTGTCGTCAACCAGAGAACGAATGTGGCGTAGGATTTGAGACGGTGATCTATCACCAAGTTCAACTTCCGTGAAAAGGTTTTTCATCTGTTTTTCTTGAGGATTAGAAAGGTGGCCGATGATTGCTTGTTTGGACCGATCATAAGAGTTGTCGTCCGTCGTTTTGATCACCAAGGCCTAGAATGACTGGTGAATGTTACTCGGCAAAGCTAGCGTCAAATAAACAAAAGGGCTTGTTCGTTTCGACATGTCATTTATTTTAAGCATGTTCTCGATTCGAACTAACCAGATTTCAGTGCATTCTGGGTTGAAGGTTGAACAGCTCGAAATGATACTTGATGAGTCAGAATCTATTTCTTTGGACATGGTGTGGGACGGTGAAGGGCGGGAGGAGAATAGGAGTCAATAGGATGGGAGAGTTGGAGGGTTTAGCAATATAACTAAAAATCGCAATGTCAGTGAAGGATTGCTTTGACAATTACGTCAGTCACCAATTTGTAGAGGAATACTACACTAGTAAAGCCTTGACAATACTCAGAAATCTCTATAACAGTGCTCCTATTCCGTAGAAGAAGCATATGTATTACCAGGAAGCTTAGTCATAATCAAAGTGGCGGTTAGTTTAAACAAACGGAGGCTTCTGATTGGTCACTGATTGTGCGTTGTCCGTACGCGCAATTGCACGCCGCACCTCCGAATCCTGTGTGCGGTGTGATGACGTTTCCCACATAACTCTCAAGTGAACAATAAGAATTCTCGCAGCTACACAATTTGTAATTAGACACTTTATTTCATTAAATTATAACTCATTCAGATCTTGATTTATTCGGTTGACAATTACATGTATGGAAGACATTTCAGTTTGCTAATTCGCATATTACTTCACTCCATTGACCTTTCTCAGTTGCTTCGAGATCCATCAATAATCTACATTTCAAATATTTTTCCCGACTTGATTCACCAACTCATTACAAATTCTCAGCAATTGAAATTGTCTGCTCGAAGACGAGAACCAGAATGTCAGCGAACCACGTTGAGACACCATGAGAAACAATTGGATTCAAGGATAGTGGTCTTTGGGTATGACTTGAACGATCATATTTATTGAGACGCTATTCTTTCCCAAGTGGACGAGATTTTGCGTACTCAGTCAAATTTCCAATGAACTCAGTGAGTACATGCTCCCTATTTCTTCTCATGTAGATATTTGAATAGAAGGAATAATCTTGAATTGTCGATAAATGAATAACCATTTCCTAGGAGACATTTAAATAATTAATCACAATGCTCAATTACTACATTTTTCTCAGGCAACATGCATTGAGAACACCAAACACTTCTTATTGGTAACGTAGTCGCAAAGATACGCTGCTTCTCGCAATCCACAAGAACGCGTTCAGCCACACAACAATAAAAGTAATCCAACGATTGAAGGAAATCGGCTTCACAATGGAAGACGGCGACGACCTCTCGTTTCACTTCCATTAACTCTCCTAGTTCTACTGACACCTCCTGACTCCCCACAGAGATTATCGTTTCACCAGTGAGCGACAGGCCCCACTTTCACTGTCTATACTGTCACTGAATGCGCGAATCAAATTCACGTACATTTCTGTATCATCCCTCCACGCTGGGTGTTTGTACTACCCACATCAACTTGGAATACCTGTGTTACGACTCGACAAATTTCAATGTCTCAGCCTAACTATTCGTCTTAGAATGTCTTCAGATCTTGTCGTCGTAAGGTCTCCCAACATCAAATGAAGCCAGCCATTGGCAACACACTACACCTGACCACACGCAACCGAGGCTACCAACGTTAATATACCCCACTCGAAACCAGCAACAATGATACTGGCTTTCACTAAAGTAATAATATAATCAAATATGCATCTTCTCATCTTTAATACTCTCATGAAGTAAAGCGCCAATGACGGATTGTTCTTGAGTGGACGAAAATGGCCAGAGCCAAAGCTCCCACTCATCATTGCACGTTTCATTTTAATCCACAAAGTCGAAGTTGAGTTATGCGCAACATTGCCTTCCTTCCCTATCCACCCAGCCACCCCCTCCCTCCTTTCCCGTTCCGGACAAGTCGATTCCATTGCCCGCTGTCACAAATTAGACATAGGTACCCCTACCATGTACCCACACTTAGTCGGATTTCTTCATTTTGACGTTGCGATCCCAGAATGGAGACCACATAGCGCCAGTTGACAATCAGACATTACAATCTTTACATTTCACCAGACAGTTGATTTCGCCAAGTCTGAGTTGGTATTTTCTTGCGTTTATTCGAAAATACTCACTTCCCACCCACCCACCCACCCCCCTCCCCCCTCCATCATCCCTATTTCATCGTATTTCACAACGATTAAACATTCGACAACTTCCATGGCCTTTCAAGGAAACCGCAAAAACCAAACATCAAAGTTGTCACGATCATCACCACCCAACAAAATGACACAAGAAAATAAAGAAGCGAAAACCAACGAGCTAACTTCGAATTTGAATACTGTCGAAGTTACTTCAACATGACTGCAGGAAATACCATGAATGACATTGTAAATAAGTTTGAGAAATTAAAGATTAGGACCATCTAAACTAAAACGGGAAAGCAGGCTGAAATAAAATTCTGACAACGCAACTGTCGCTTTGTCCACAACTGCAAAGAGCTCCCACTCCCACTATTGAGGACTTCGGCTACTCCGACCACAACTCGGTTGGCACCGAAGCTCAATGTCTGCACAGGGAACGACACCACTGCCTCGAGCGATCGGGTAACTAGAGGACAACAGATCCTATCCTCTTATCACATCCTTTTTTCCAAACACATCTCCCCTTATCAAACTTCATTCACAACCACCCCCGGCACCATTCCTTTCCACACTCGTACTCCCAACATTAACTGCAATTTAAAATCATGTAAGTTCCTGAGACAGAAGAGAAAATTGCCAATTTATTTTGTTAAAAAAACTTTAATGGCATTTTTGTAAAAATTTGCCACACTGACAACAGCAATTGTAAAGTGGTTTTGTGTACATATATTCTCCAATTGATTAATTAAATGAGTGATTGGGCTAACCAAGAGGATTTTCGCGATCCGCTGCATAAGATTCGTTGTCTTCTGCGTTTGTGAAGTCCAAGAAGTGCGATGGTCGATGAATACGATGATAAAATTTCTTCGGCTTCAATGGTTGCAACTCATACTTCATATTGGGGTTGTGACGAACACCTAAAGAACAGACAAGATGTAAGCATACCGCAATTCTAATCTTTTGAGTGATACTGCATTTACTAATTCCTAAAACCAAGCGATTTTTCATAATTCTTAGATTCTCTCTAATAAACAAAAACAATCCTGTGAAAGTTGAAATAAAGATATTCACTATAAACAGATACCAAGTACTCAGTACTCACAGAAATGATCGTACTTAATTTTAGAATGGCTCTAACTAGATATGCTTATTTGAAATTTCATGAATTTCGTGAATTAAGAGAATTCAACCTCATGCAAAATTGAATTAAGGTTGAGCCTATTTTTAACGATTAAACCTCTTATGGTATCTGGCCTTCGATAAAGAAATAGTTCCATGTCTATTTAAACTTTATGAATACCTTAAAGAATTTAGTTACAAACCACAATTTCGACTTGTTGATGAGAACGTTAATTTGCCTTAAACAACTTCTGTACTAAAATCTAACTATGGTTAATTTGTTTTGTTGCCCTTATTTAAAATATTAGACGTATATATTCAATAATACTCACCCATAAAGTTGTAATTCCATGAACCCTGAGCAGGAACCATGAAGAATCCCAAAAATCGATCAGACAGAAGCATCTGGACACGCTCATAGTGACTTGGCAGATATCCCTTGGGATTGTTTCCCTTATCCGAGTTCTGTCGACCCCACTCATAACCACCTGGTGTAAGTTTGTAAGCACAAAGTGAGACGGAGCCAGGCGTGAAGCTGCAAGTGATGACAATGGTTCGATCTCCATCCTGTTCAGCAAATAGCTTGGCGTGGGTAGAGACATCTTGAGGCGAGAGTTGAGGCAACTCGTTGGGTTGTGTGTGGATCCAACCAAGAGGTTCCAGTTCCCGAAGATATTCATCTTGAGGAAGACCTTCTGGTACGTGAACTGTTTGATGGGTTCCCCATTGAGGTGGCATTACTATGCAACGAATCTCCTTAATTTGATTGTTGTCGGGAGGTGAGATACCGTATAAGTAACCGCAAATCTACAAATATATAAACGATGCTCACTGTTTATGTCGTTAAAATATGTAATTTTTCAACTACTTATCAGAATCATGTTGAACAAAACAACAGATAGATCATATTGATTCTACATGTTTACATTTTTTCGATGATTCGTATTAACTGAAACCTTTTTTGCAAATAGAATGCGAGGTATCAGCCCACGGTCAACTTTAAAACACAGGCAAAATTAAAACCGACAATTTTAAAACTGTTTTCAATTCGTATTTTAATGCAGTAATTTGAAAAAATATGAAGTAAAACCATGTGAAGCAGTGATAGATAAAGAACGAGATTCTCACCTGAGCACGAAGATCGGAGATGGTGATAAACTTCTTAAGTACATTCTTAGGCAGAATATAAGTGTATCCATTCTCCTTGACATCGTCAGAACTAACATAAATGTTATTTGTGCGAAGGTAGAGGTTTGTTGCCGAGATTGCACGAACACGCCACTCAGTCTTGCTCGAGAAATGCTGTTTCTCATAGTTAGACGTGGTGGTTGAAATGATCTCTTCACCGTGTTTGTTCACAGTCTTCGTGGTAGTAGCAGTTAATTGGGCTTGGTCTTTAGCAGCCTTTTCAATCTCTGCAATCTGTTGGCGTTGTTGTGATGGAGCGGATATTTCCATACCCAAAATGATGTCTCGAATTTCGGACTGTGTGAGAGAAGCCACGTTCACACTAAAGTAGGCAAAATAGAAAAACGTTAACGATCATGACGACCAATAGATAAGTGAGCCCAGGCAGAGATATTTGCCAATGCAATCCATTATTGATAGCAAATGTTCAAAAAAAATTATCGATATATTTAAGGTCAAAACAACCCAAAAGGAATAGGTGATATTCGTGTTATTGTAACGATTCGGCATACCCTGACAAATGCATCAAGGAGTCAAGAACCGTAACTCAATTTCGCCCTGAATATGACACAATCGGCTAAAACCACAACTGTGGTACTTAAAGGGCACAAAACGAGACTATAACAATAAGTTGAACACTTCATCATACCTATCAACAAATTTCACTGGTATAGCAGAAATACCACCTCAATCTTGGCCCAGAGAACGACACAGATAGCTACAACCACTGTGTAACTAGAGGGCCAACTTCAAGCATTACCATCAAACAATTACCAACGAAATTTAGTAAGATGACGAAATGTAGCACTTCTTCGTACCAATTGACTAACGCCACTGGTATAGCAGAAATGTCCACTCAATCTTGGCCCAGGGAACGACACAAATAGATACAACTACTGTGTAACTAGAGGGCCTAAATTTAGAGCTATAAGCAAGTAGTAGCTACCCGCAAAACTATTTACTCTCAAGAATAAAGTAGAAATAGTTCACATTTGATGGAGGAAATGAAAGCACATAGGCATCGGTTTAGGACTCACTTGTTCTTCTTGCCATAGTCAGCGAGAATGAGATCCTTCAGTTGGTACTCAACCTTAATCCATTCCTCCGCTGTGAGAGTTGGCCAAATGTGATGAGGTTCCGTGATTGTCGTTTTGTCTGGTTTCAGCGTAACTTTAGCCTTATCGTTATTAACGTGTAAAGCACGGAGAATGAGGATAAGACGCGAGAAAGCGGTGTAGGAGGAAATTGATTTGAGCCAATCATCATAGAGATTGAACAGAACCATCTGGGGCTCAGTGGCTTTGAGAATGAGATCACCGAATTTCTCTACTTTAAGACAAGCTTGGAAAGGCAGTTGCAGTTCAGAACCCTGAAAAAGTAATTTTAATTAAAAAATGACTAAATAAATCATAAAGTTTCGGGATTCAGAGATGTAACTAATAACACGAAACAACTCGAAATCTCTTATCACAACAACGATGCAAAGAAGGAGTCTTGCGAAATTCTTAGACCGATAAATTTAGTGTATTTACGAGAAAGTGGTAAGTTCATCGTTTCAAATTAGGCCTTGTGAATTATGATAGACTTCATTTACTTTTCAAGCTTGAAACCTAATACACTTGAATATAACTGTCCATCGTACCCTCAATAGCCGAAGTAGTCAAGGGCGTAGAAGACAGTCCAACTTTATCTATGCCCAGGGAACGACACAGTGGACAAATTCGACTGTGTAACTAGAGGGCATAAAATATTTGAATGCGTCGAAAATTTCATAGAAATTACCATACACTCGAATCAAGTAAACAAATTTCGAACTATGCTGGAGAACAGCATTTCAGGTAAAAACATTATTGTAGCTAAAGGGCATCAAATATACGGAGCAGCTAATTCAACGGGCAAAATAAGGACCCATCGAGGACTTGAAATAAAAGGCGAGAAGGCAAAGATAACTGATGATAGGACGATACAAACGAGTAGCTTAGTACAACTAATCGATCACTTAAGTACTCCGTTGGCTAAGACACAGCATGATCTGTTCATTTTATGAAAGAGGACACCACACAGTAGCTCAAATGCAGATATGTGACTTCCTAACTATTAATCGCATAGGGTAATAGCCAACCTCTTTAAACGATAGACATGTAATAAAAAACTCGTGCACTCATAAAATATTAATATACCTTGATGACGATATTTGGGAAATCGAGAAGATGGACTTCTAGGGGGTCCAGCATACCCTTTCTGGTAACAATAATCTGTTTGGGTTGTTCTTCCACAGGCAAAGAACGGATAAGGGCAGCCACTTCTTCGGCTGTCTTCCACTTTGCTAATTGACCCAAACGCTTTTGACCTGCCCACACAGATGTGTGAATGATTTTTAAGAAGAGCTGACCAGTACGTGGATTGAAGATGAAGATCGCTCCGTTGATTGGCTTTGTGGTAAGATTACCCTCAAATGTCTAAAACAGAAAAAAAACATAGAAACCATGTCGGGCAGCTTTACGACTAAAAATTACAGTTCAAAAG